GAAATGAGCTTATTATAGGCTACACTATTTATTTAAATTATACATGGATTTTGTTAGCAATAAGAGTTTCTTCACCAACTTATTTTCAGCAGATAGTAGGATAGGCCACTTAAATTGTTTAGCTAGAACACTTCAATATCAACAAAAGTTGTGAAAATCAATGCAAAAGGTTTTACTTTAGATTTGCTGGTTAGTTGCTTTGCAACGATTTGTACCGTGAAAAGCGCTATACAAATAAACTTGAATTGAATTGAAATAGAAATGTATTTACAGGTAATCACAATGTGATGGTGCGTAGCCTAAAGAGCCACCAGGTGGCGGTATGACACCACACTTTAAGATTCTCTGCTCCGCAGGAATGTGATATCTTTGTGAACCACCCACGTTAACGTTTTTCTGTGAGAAAGTCGATCTTAAAATAGCGCTCGAAAACAGAAGTCTAAGGATGTTTTATGTCTAATGTTTAGTGCTACTTGTTATTTTTATTTTTATTTTTTTTTATCAGAAGAGCAACGTAACGAGTCATTAAGGACAGAACGTTTTTGATCAATTGAATTAAATATAGGCATAAATGAATGACAATGAAACACAGTTTACAAATGTGTAAAATCGACCTTTAGTGACAAGAAATCAAAGAGAAACTGTAGATTGTATTTGTCTACTTTGGCTCTAATTGTATCCCTTTCTTCTGTACTACATTTATGATAGAGACTGTAGGAAATTAAGTAGCTGCTTTTTATAAACAAATTGTCTAAATGATTGCAAATTAGTGATGATTAGAGATTACTGCGCCGCCTAAATAAACGTAATTTGACATCAAAATGGAAAAAAATTGACAATCTATATGGGTGTAGAATACGCACTTGTAAGATTAGATTGTATTAAGTCAAATGTATCGTTTTATATCGTTTTCTTCGACCAGATGATAAAATAAAATTGTGCCGTTTCTGTGTTTGTTACAGCAGGGTGACATGCTATCTCTAAATTTTAAATGGAAATCAATGGTAACATGTTGCCGATTACAATTCAACGCTGCAGCATATCTTGAGACTTTCATTCTATATCTTTAAACTTCAAAAACATGGAAAATAGGACTGTCTTCACAGAACTTACACAATTTTATAAATTCTTTGAAACCATTAACTATTTGTAATTATTTGGACAGACACTCAATAGTATAAAGCGCCTGAATCCGCGCGTGATAAAGAGACAACTCACCGCCAGGGGTCGCTGATGTCAAGACTGTAGCTGGCACACGTTGCAGTTCATCATTAGGCGCTGGCAAACTTATGCTACAGGATTATAAAAGGCCTTGCAACACTTGAGTAACATTAGTGCAACATCAGTGTCCACGTATCATATGCTATTAGCTACAGCAATAAGGATAGCAAGCAATACGTTTTTACAAATCTTAAATATTAAGAACATGTATAGGCTATCATTAGCCCAGTTACTTGCGTAGGCTAATGTAACATGGAGACTGTGGTGTAAAATTGAGTATTTTTAGTTATTCCCATTAATCCTGTTTGTTAAAAAAGCAATGCGCTCTTCTGATATTACTGAAGGTTCATTGTCTGGTTAAAGTAATGTTTAGTGCTGCAGGTTCAAATCAACACAGTAAGTGCTGTAACAGTGGTATGTCCAAACACTCACAGCTGCAGGGCACGACACACTTCGGTCAACAGTCACATTCATTTAACCCAAGTGACCTTTGTGAATGAAGAGAGCGGACTCTTCACTTAAACACACTCCATTACGCGTGTTGGAGTCAAGAAAATATCAGCATTTAGTCTCCATCCGCTGTCGGAATGGCCATTCTGCCTTTAGCCCAATAAGATGCACACATGAATTTGTCATTTACTGATTAATTATAAATTGACACATATAAATGTGTGCGTGCGCGTATACCCATGTTATAAAGTTATTCTAATAGGCTACATTATAAAGCGAAGATTGCTTTTAAATTTTCTTTGTTTAAAAAAATCGATATTGTAAGAGTCATGAAAAAAATTATTAGGCCTAATAATAATAATAATAATAATAATGCAGTAAGCACTGGTGCTCATAATGTCATATTGTATACAGACAATAAGTAAATTATTTTAAACCAAATGAGGTGTAGAAATGGAGTGTATGTCATGTAACATTTTTTTTAAATGAAATAAAAGAATATAGCCTACAGTTGGCCGATGAGAGCAAACAGATGCAGTGGATTTCAAGAAATAGCTAGTTATTTATATAGCTGACCAGTTTCCAATTGAATCTTTTGCGCACGCTCGCCCCTTAAATTATTTATTTCTGTATACCTGTGTTTCTTTTAAAGTGAAAAACTCTATAGCCTATAATACAAGCCATAAAGTCTGAATTGAGGCAAATATTGAATCATACCTAAATATACTGTCTGTAGCAATATAGTAGCAATATAAAATATGTAGCTGTAACATATGCAACAATAAGAAATGTAACTTTTTTGAGGTATTCTGTTGCATGTTTGAATAAAAAGAATGAATGCAGCAGTGGAACCCTAACAAGTCATCAGAGACAAGAACAAAACGTACACGGGAAATATCTGCTCTCCTTTTTCTTCTATAACAGTGCCATTTTTCTCCTGTAACAAACTGCATATTGTTATCAGACATATTTTTAAAACATGATTGTACTTACACTCTTTTATTTTCCGTAGACCCAGAATCAGCTTTATTGAATTACAAGGATTTTTTTTGCATCGTTTCCAGAAGCTTCAGTATACTTGGAGACAAATAGACACATGATAACAGAGTCGCAGTCACAGAAAGATAAACGTATAGTGATTTGCCATGTAAAGGTATGTTGCAAAATTGAAATGATAAATGCGTAAAGCCTACCTACTTTTACAAAATTTCATATTTTGAATTGAATAAACCTCTTACTCATTTTAAAAGGCAAATATTTTAGGCCAGTGCTGAAACTATAGGCATAACATTCATTTTAGGTTACTATAGGAACTCTGCAACCTATAGGCGAGACTCTGTCCCGCGCGCACTCAGCAAACCCTGGAAAGCTTGCGCGCAAGAGAGAGAGAGAAGCGGAGACAGGGAGCACGCGCGTGGGATTGTGATTGGACGCTCGGCTGCCTGCTGCTGGAGTGACGTCACTGCAGGAGAGAACTGCCAGAGGAGGATGCATTTAGTCAGAAACTAGACTCTCTCAAGCTGGAGAGAGAGAACATCACATCCACAGCGCAGGAGGGAAGGGAATGAGACAATCGCATGCAGGTTACACTCGTGCGTGGTTCCATACATTTAAACGTTGCATCTCCTCTCACGTCCATGCATGAACACTGTAAGCATGCTTTTCAAGGGAGGAATTCCCCATCTTGGAAATTAAACTGCCTGTTCCGTTCTCTGGATGGCTGAGACGCAACATTCGATGGCTGACTCCTCAAGGACTGCGAGTTTTGAATGGAAAACGCATCGCTGAAGAGACGCACTGAAGAGTTGGGCTTTTGACTAGATGCTTCTGCGCTGCTCAGAGATTTCAGCGTCATGTTCTTCAACGCGAGACGCACGGGAACCTCTATTTGTCCCCGACACACGGCCACTCGTAGCTTACTTTCTGACAGAGAGGAATATGCACGTCAATTGTTAAAAGTAAGATTTTTAAATCGTCTCAATTATTTCTGCGTACTCGTATTTTTAAACGTGAATTGACTCATAGCACAGCTTGGATCCCTGAATTGTTTTGGTCACGATAACTCTTAGTAACTTAGTAGTCTATAAATTGACTTTAATTTAATAATATATGCATATACGTCAAAATGCATGCATATATGTACGATCCTAACATTTTACGTGAATTGCTTATAACTGACCCCATGTGACAGACAAGGCCGTGTTCACTGGTAAGTGCATGTGCCCCTCTGTACTTTGTACACTCTCAGCAGGTGCATCTAGAATGTTTGGAACATTTTCGTGAAATATGTAGCGTGTGTATCGTTAACAGTAATATGAATAGGCGACATAGTAACTACACAACCTAAGAAGGACATTTTTACAGTCATTTTGGATTATATACACTACACACTTGTATGGCTGCAGGGCTTTAGCCCTTTATTAACTTGATTGTGTAATTAGTGGCGTTTGATTTTGTTAAAGCATGTTTATTGCACTACTCTTGTATGTATTTATATTTATAAATACAATTATATAGCTCTACATTTATTTAGGCTATTTGCGGACATTATAATGCATGCTTATAGTTTTTATAATACAATATGCATATACGTGATGAAAAAAATAATAATAATTTGCATCACTTAGAGTCAAGACCAAATGTAATTAACAATAGGTTTAATTATATGACGTCCCATTTGCGTGAGGGAAACGTGGGTTCAGTAGACACGCTTGAACACAGCCAAGAAACAGCTTCATAGTTTATAATGCAAAACAGAACTGTTGAAATATATTTAACACGAGTCCTTGTTAAATTAAAAATAATACGAACATTATAAGCTATTTGGGTCTTATTTCTTAATTGCATCATTTTTGGGAGGAAAGTAAGATTTATATTAAACTGTGGGCTAAAAGGCCTTGCAGTTTGCGGAATTATAATGCACGAAGTGAAGATGAAATGATGCATGGTGATGTAGGCATGTGGAGGTGTGATGACTGTCTGATTGTTGGGGCCTAACGAGCCAAATGAAATGGTTAGACCTAATAACCGTCATTTCTAAGGATTATTGGTGACCAGAAGGGACAAAATCCCTTTAAATCGGATTGATGAATGGAAAGCCTGACGATAACTCCAAAGACTCCATTTGAAACGCACCCACACCGCAACTTCAGGCCTAGACTATTGTGGATTATGTCTTCACCACGTGCTGGAGGTCTGGAGAACCTCATAAATCCATTCAACACTTGACTTGTTAACAGCATTTACAGGTCTATAAAAAAAGAGTGTAATTTGAGTAATTTGTTTATTGCGCATTAACCCTGTTTTCGTTCATCAGGTCAACTTTATGAGATGTTCCACATTTAAAAAAAAAAAGTGTTGACAGGAGGTAGTTGCTATCTTTGGTTATCTAGCTGTATGAGTGTTTATCTGCCTTCATAAAGCTAGATAACCGAAAGTAGAAACGTCCTCCTTAACTGCATAGTGGACAAGTTGGGAAGCAATGATGGCAGGGAACTGCGTGAGGTAAGCAGGCCCTCTGCTCTGTGTGAATCATACAGCCAATTTAAACCGCTGCTATGTAAAGTAATACGATCGTGCGGATAGGTCACAAGTAATGTTTCAGGCTGTCAGTTTAAATGCACCTTCGGACAGGTGCACGTTTTTGGACTACTGCATCAATTTTGAAAATCTACTGTAGTGCCTTAGTTTAAAAAAAAATCAAAAGACTATATTTAACTTGTGTTTGACTATATAAAAGAGCTACAATTTATTCTATTAATAGTTTTTTCTAAATATTAATAATTGATGTTGATTTACTCAACTGTTTTTTTTTTTTAGTTATAATTTGACCAGTTCAGTCAGTGTTGGTTTTGATGTCAAAGGTTTGCTTTAGTCTGAGAAATAATGAAAAAGCTATGAGAAGAAATGCATTTTATAAAACATTTAAACGACAAAATTGCAATGAAAATTCCAAGGGAAAAAATAAACAGCAAACGGTTACTTTTATTTAGGCTCACAATCAAATTAGTAATTTGATGTATACATTGCATTTTTTAACGCATCTTTAAACAACTTTGATATTCAAAAAGTGAGCGTGACGTCATCGACCCATTCGCAGTGACAACTATTAGGCAATGACATCAAGCTGAAGCAGCTTCATTATGATTGGTCACATTAATCTGGCTGTACACATCAAAGATGAAGGCATGAGGCGGAATCTAATGCGGAATGAAGGCGCTTTTTTTCTTTTTCTTTTTTTTTTAATCCCTGTGGTTTTTTAGTGACATAAGACGTAATTGTGAGACACCAACCCTATAGTAGGCTACTGTAAAAATTGCTGAAAATTATGTAAATATTAGTTGAAAATGTTTAGATCTCAAAATCATTAGAGGTGTAAGCGCCTTTGGAGCTTCGCGTCACGCAGAGCCACACACACACACACACACACACACACATACAGGTTTGTTTTTATGGTTTATGGGGACTCTCCATAGGCGTAATGGTTTTTATACTGTACAAACTGTATTTTCTATTGCCCTACACCTACCCTACCCTAAACCTACCCCTCACAGGAAACTTTCTGCATTTTTAGAAACATACACACACACACACACACACACACACACACACACACACACACACACACACACACACACACACAAAAGCCTGTGTGTTAGCCTGTGTTCAGTAAAGCATATATTAAAAATACTGTATCCTTAATTTATTATTATATTAAATATATTAAATAAATATTTATTATAGTGACACAATATTAGAAACCAAATGAAATTCCTGAAGCAATCACGAAAAAAAAAAAATCATTGGCGTGTGCTTAAAATTTAGGTCAGTTTAATCTGAATTGGACTCAATTGCCTGGCTTATTAGTCTTTGTTTTACTGCTGTATGGATAATACAACTAAATACACAAGATGCATACTTTTGTTTTCAGATACAGAAAGAAAGGTGTCTAAGCTTAGAGTGCCAATTAAACTAAATGAAGAGAAGAGGAAATGATTGATAATTACGACTTGAAAAGAAAAAACAACAACTAACAAAGAAATGATAGAGAACAAAAAAGAATAAGTTTCATGAGTTGACTGAGCAGATTTTACATTCTTTGCCACGTTAAAAAATGTTTCACATGCCAAGTGTGATTTAAGGTGCGAATTCAGCCTTGCTTGAGCTTTTTAATTCAGTGTTCATTATCTGGCTGTCATTTATGTGTTTGTAAATTATATCAATAATTTAAATGTAAAACTGAAATATTCTGATTATTGTCTATTCCTGGTGTCTTTTGTTACTTCAACTCACTGTAGGCTCTCAAACTGCAGTGTTTTTGTGATAGACCAGAGGACTGGAGCTAAGGGGGAAAACGCCATCTGGTAAGTGCAATCAAAGCGTATTACAATGCAACATTGTAATTAGAACAATTAGTTGCAGAGTTAATCTGATTCAAACACACAGTAAATCATAAAGTATATGCTAATGAATTCATGCTCTTGAAAGGAGCCAAATGCAAATAGTAATCCCCAATCAAGTCCAAGACACTATATGCATGACATGAATCTTTCATCAGAAAATCTATATATCTGTTTCTCTCCCTCTTTTGCCATATATATATATATATATATATATGCATAGTCATAAAAAGCATCTGTTTATGGTTATCTGACCTGACCTGTTTTCCTGTTTTTGCATATTTGTGTATTTAAAGACACTAATATAAGTTTAATATAAGTGCACATTTGTACCAGACTCCAACAATTTCTTTACAGTAAAGTGCAGATCATAATCAAAAAGTTTTTCTTAATCATTCTATAGATAAATGTTGTATTATGATGTGTGGCATATGTTTATTTGTCAATTCATATCATATCAGGCAGACATTGTGCAATTCACACAATATTAGCAAATGAATAAGAAAAGGGCTCGCTATGGCTGTTAAACATAAAACATAATTATCTCATAATTATCTGTTAGACATTAAACATAATTATCTCGGGAAATATCCCTCAAATCATCAGGCTTGACCTGTGTAAAAAGAACGAAAATAAATTTAAATCACAATATATTTCAACATGCCAAGGAATCTGTGGTTAGTATGACTGCAGGACATTAGGCCAGAGGCTTCAATGCGATAAATGATCGGAGAGAGGATATTATATGTCTGTCTCCATCTCGATAATGATAAGAATGTATGGGCCACTATCACATTGCATATTACTTTATGTAAAATTAATGTGAGCAAAGAAATTCTGTCATCATTCATTAACAGTGATCTTTTCCAGCTAAACTGGTTACCTAGCACAATTGAATAACGGTTATTCAATGAAATTATGGGTGGACAGTAATTGATGTGGGCTGATTCATTATACCTTCACAGTGACCAATTGCACAGCTGGCTATGAGAGCACAAAAGCCGGACGTTCATGCCTTCGCACGATTCGTGTTGAGCTAACGCACAACTACTTACATTACTAATACCAGGGTTGTCTGAACGTGGTGAAGTTACTTAGCATGACACGAACAAGAAATTATAGTCACCTGATACTGTTTATATCATCCAAAGAAATAATATATAGCAGTTGCCATGACATCTGCTTTGGCAGTGATAAAAGGGGCTTTTTGTCCTTTATTTTCTTGTTTCCCCTTAGCAACTGCCAGCCATTTACACTGCCTTTTTGGAGCAAGAGGGAGAGAGGAAAAAAATGGTGCAATTGTCCAAATGAAAGAAAAGAAAAATAATAGTCAACCCTCATCCTTCTTCTACCAGCTCCCCTCCCTTCTTCATCAACGGAAGCATTTAGTGCCATCTGTGCCCCCGGAGAAAAGAGGAAAAAAAGAAAGGAGTGAGACTCTACATCCCAAGTGCCAATGGGGACAAAGAGGCTGCTAGTTGCCACGGACCACCAGATGCTGGAAGACTGCAAGTCTGAATGAGGGGTGTGCTTTCAGGAAGCCATCTTGATGGAGAAGCTGGCTGCTGCTCCCTAAAATGGCTGTGTTGGCATGAGGTAAGCTGCATCGATGCCTATATCAGACTAGCTGCCACGTTATTGTGTCCGATTTTAGCTCCGCCAGTGGTTGCCAGGTCGTTTGAAACGTAAAGCAAACGAATTGGGCGAATGCCTACACAAAACGTCTCTAAAAACGTGTTTTGTGGTTGCTTTTTTGGCGGCATGAGATTAGGCCCAAATCATTTTCTTTAAAAAGAGCTATCACGCTCTCATCTTTCCTGACTAATTAGAAAATATCCCCGTTATCTATATGCACACGCTCAGATATGCACAAAGACCTTCTGATTTGTAGCGAGCTTTGAAAGCAAATGAATCCCTCCTGCTGCTGCATACGTATTTTCAAATGGAAGAGAATGAAAGTAGCTATTAATTCGTGCTCTTACCACATTAATTGACTGGAGGTTGGGTTATGTGTTATAAAGGACAAAACCGTGCAACGAAATCCATGGTTCAATGACGACACAAAAATGACCACAGCAGATTTTCAGATGAAACCAAAAAGCGAGAGCTGCTTAAACTCACTTGAGAGACTAAGTTAATTGACATACGGCATCCTCTTGACCAAAGCAACAGAGTCAACCTGAACTGAAGAGCACTTTTGTTTCTGCTGCTTAATGATACACCAAATTACTGGCACGAAGGTGCCAAGTGCCCCTCACCAGCTTACAATAGCACATACGCTGCCCTGCCCAACTTTAATGTTAGAAATAGGTCTGCAGGCTCTTACACTGTACCGTGTTTTTAATTATGTTTGGTGTCTTTTAAAACAGCCACAGTTTGTATCATTAGCTGGTCAAGAGGCGAGAGGTGCAAAACATCACATTGCTGCCTCGGTTCACTCGGATGTTGCGTGGTAAATGGAAATGTACGCAGGCCGCCTGGTTGCAGAGAGCTGCGTGCTATGTCATTGAAATGGATGTAAGACACTGAAATGCACTTCACAAAGGTGACTGGTTGCGTCATAATGGATTGCTGGTGATATGCAGAGCTGTGCTGGTGCGTTTATTGCAGAAAATGATTAAAATAGGTGGAATACAGAAACATATTTGCTCTAGGATGACAAATTTGCTTTGCTTTTGTGATGTTCCCAAAACAAGATGAACGCATAGAGCGTAAATAATCAAAATACATTGAAATGCGAAGACGAGACAAATGATGCGTCATCCACTGAATATTTAAAGCCACTGAATCCCCCTCGTAATAACAGAAAACCGTTTTTGCATACTTACTGAGCGTGGAAACCCTGTGTGCCTAAAAGACATCCTTGTCCATAAATGAGCTTTTTTAAAAAGACTGACATTTTATCCTAAAAGAGGAGGCTTGGCAGAATAGCCCATCAAAAAAGACGTGTAAAAAAGATCACTGATGTACGGAAGGTGCCCGTGGAGCTTACAAATAAAGGAAACAATGATGCAAGTGCCTCTGTTAATGAAAAAGACCAGACAAGCTCTGCATATTAACATAATTGCATAGGAACAAGCAGAGAGGACTGAGCCCCCAATTAAAGGCACAGCGGCGCTTTAGCAACGGCACGTGGCAGCATTCTATATTTTGAATGTTTATGTTCAAATTTGAATGCCGACTTTGATGCTTTCAAAGCAGAAAAAGACTTTGATGTTACTGTTGTGCTTGTGTTCAATCTGCCTTTTTTTCTTGCACATGCATTCCAGAAATTTCCAGGGATAAATACACACACAAATATACGATGCAGAAATTTGTCCATTCTGAATGCAAAATATAATTTTTGCAATCTATATTAAGCAGGAGCATTTGCTTTCTCAGTTTTGCATATAAGAGACAAGAACAATCCATGTTCATATTTTTAAAAGAAATAGCCAGATGTTTAATAATTTAGGATGTTTTGTGAGCCTGTAATAGACAAAAAAAATAATAATTAAAGATTATACTACAACACAAAGCTACAGATTTAAGATTTAACACCGCAAATTTGTCTCAATAGATGTTATTATATTATTCATATATGGAAATGGTTTCTCCATCTACATACAGAAGAAAAAGAGATTTTTTAAGATGATACAAAACTGAGCATCTCTATTTGCGACCCAACACTCTGCATACATTTTAAACTCGTCCTTGGACAAAATAGTAGCCTAGAAATGAGAGACTGTACCTTTAATAGAGAATTTCTAATTAGGCTGTGTATCTTGCTGTGAGGGGGGAGGGGTTTCCTCCTTCTGCATCTCTCAGGGTTTTATGTAAAAGACCTTCGATGTTTAAATATCTCTCATACGGACCCAAAACTCATTTTATACCCTTGATCAGAGAGTCTAATGCAATAGTGTTACACAACAACACTGCATTTGCACAAATGGCGCATAATGATAGCACAACTGTAGATGGTTTAACAGCAAATGTTAACAGTGTTTACAAATGTATAGAAGCAAGAATAAATGTTCACGTTCGCATTTGTGTGTGTGTGCGTATAAGCGGTCGAGCAGGGGGAGTGGGTGCTTGTCAGAGCATAATGTGACTGCTGCAGAGCAGTGGCTGAAAAGTGTTAATTATGCCGCTTGGCACGGTGCCAAACCCATACCAGATTTTTCCAGTTTTCAATATGCAAATCATGCGCTGAACTGTGTATTGTTTTTGTGGTTTACCAGTTCTTTGTGTTTTCAGCCAAACAGAATGCGCACATGAGTATTCGAGTCAGAAAAACGAAATATTTGTTTTTTTCCTTTCTGCATCAAGCAAACACAAAAGCTATAGAATAATGCACTGCATTGCTAAGAAATAATTCCAGTCTAAATTCATACAAGCCTATATGCATGAATGGAATTATTTGAAATAAAATCTAATAATTCAAATGTAAAAAAAAAAATTTAATCCTTAGCACATTTGGATTACTGTCTATAGCTCTCTCTGGTACCAGTCCAACGTAATGTGCTTTATGGAGTGGCATATGTAGATTTTAGGCATGGCTGTGATTATATTTTTTCATGGACTGAAAAGGGCAATTCCTTGAAATGTCTGGTGTCTGGCACAATAATCACTTCAACACAAGGTCATTTGCATGTGTGTGTATGATGAAAAATGTGTTTTCGTGTCTGTGTGCAAGAAAGTCAATCAGTTTCAGAGTGTTTTTTTTTTTACACATATTCAAGCATCAATAGCAATACCACAAATGATGATTTGTGATAAATAAGGAGCAAACTGTCAGCTGTAGTCTCTTTGTTGGTAAACAGTTTGATAGTGCCCACATTATTATTCCAGACCCCTCTCCTCTTCTACAATGGCAGCATTGTACGGCGAGTACTTGACGTGGGTCCGCAGTCCCCCCTGTTTCCCACCATTGTCTGAACGGATGGAGTGCCAGAGACAGTGGAGGGTAATAAGCTGAGAAAGATGCTCAGGCCCAGACATAGCCAGATGCCTAAATTAGCACCAAAACCCTAAGAGACTATCCTCAGGGAACGGCTGAGGACGGGGCTTTATTTCTCAGGCTGCTTCGCGAGTGTGTTAGCAGCACTGTATGCTTGTGCGGTCAGGAATTGCGTGAGCATTTGCACAATCATGTGTGCTCGTGCAGTAGATGCACTCCTCTCTGTGACATATTTTTGCAGTGCCTGCTAGAGTATCGAGTTGTTATCGAGTTTAAATCGTTAAAGGTCAATGCTAATTGATTAATATGAGTGTGTATTCTAAAGTGTAGCATTTTATATTGTATATCTTTTGTCTTAGTGTGTGCAGTTTAGCTATTTATTGTATTGTAATTATTGTTGGCTCTTTGATGAATTGCAAATCCAAAGCGACTTGGATTTGCAAGCATCTGCTAAATGCGTAAATGTATTGTATTTGATGCATGTTGTGCATTGCAAAGTATTTATGAATCATAAAATTCTGTGTATATATTAATGCATTTTGCATGTAAAATCTCAAACAACTTGAGCTGAATTTGAAGGACAGTTTGTTCCTCGCCCCCTTCTGCTAGGGCACAGCAGTTGGGCAAGCAATTAATTAAAGCTCCATTACAATATATTACCCAGTAAAATGGAGGCAGTGATACAGAAAACCACAGAGAAAGTTTGCACTGGGACAGCAACAGTATTTCACAGCAAGCAAAAGGTGAATCACAAAAAAAAGGAGGAATTATTTATGCTTAATAAAATAGAAAAAAAAGCAGATGGATGCAGTGAACAGGGGAAAAAAGTATTGCAGGAGAGTTGGAGGACTTGCATACAAAGCCATCGAGGACACTGTGTCACCAACTGAGGTTTTCTGTTCTCGACAGCAACGCAGTGGAAAAAAGTAGGGTGAGATAAACAATTGACGTTAATAAATATGCAGATGAACAATAAAATATGAGGAAATGTGTGTTTGGCAGAGAATAGAAGAGGTGGGGGAGGGCTTTTACTGTCTGGCTCAGTCTGTGGCCCCATGTGGCAGTTGCTGCAGCTGGCATGTTAATATCAAAGGCCTATGGGAGGTGGCTATCTGGGAATATTTGTCTGGCATACTAACAGTCTTCTCCCTGTCATATGTCATCTTTATGTCCAGTGTTATAGGGCTTCACGTATTTATTTCTAAAAGCCAGCTCTGTGAGATTTCATTTCATGCTCTTGTGATAAAAACTTAGTGCCAGATTAGATTTGGAAACATATATGACTGCAGGGAGAATGAAAGCTGCTATTGCTTTCTGAGAAAGTTCACACTTGTATATATATATTTATATCTTTCAAGTCATTTTTAATGAATGCTTTACCAAAGATATCTCTTGAGGACAAGTTGAGAATGGATCGTGTTAATTAAGACACTTAACAAGGGTAGACGAGTTATGAATCGCTTTCATAACTAAGAAATGAACAGTGGTGAGAAATGACTCAGAAGCATCTCTTGAGTTCGTGTTAAAGACCATTGTGTGTTTTACGGTAAAATTCCCCTTGGATACCTCAGCTGTCGATCTCGTCTTAATCTCGGGATAAACGCGATTATCCCGCAAAGGGTTGTTCTCAGCTTTGTATCAGCTACGGGGGAGCTTT